GTTAAGTAACTGATGAGAAAGTGAGAGACACATGTTTACTGTTTCTGGAATCTTAACATTTATGGTTCTTCCCATCCTCCCTTCCTCCGTCCCTTCATCTCTCCCTTGCTCCTAGCTCTTGTTGTGTCTTCAGCATCCCATTCCCCATCCCGTCCTTCTCTGCTTGTGGTTGTGCAATAAGGAAGAAGGTTGTTCCTTTTACATGGGAAAGGCAGGGTGATACAGAGTCCCTCTGCTCATTGTCCTAGAAGTGGCATTACTTAACTTCATTTCTCCGCATAGTGGTAGAAACATATTGGTAGAACTCTGTTTGGTTTAATTTACACATCCCTTTGTGAACAGACCAAGTTCTTTAGGGGCATTTATTCTGCTTCATATAAATAATTGATCAGCCAAGTTAATTTACTTCAGCCTGACTTGGTCAACCTTAATTAACTGCCCTGGAATCAGGACTGAACTTTTTGTTAGCTTAAAATCTTTCACCAGTGTGATAACAAGGGCTTTATTTTCCCTAAATTTTCAGCATCAACACTGTAACCAGGGAAATAATCATAATAATAAAGCTGTGTTTTAATTTACTATAAATACATTGGCCTGGACATTATGAATTTTCTAGGAGGTTTCCACAGAGTAGCTCTGTTGGCAAAAACAATAAATAAGCATGTGAGACCCAGTTCTTATTATTTTTAAAAGTCCCCTAGAAAACTTGAGTCTTTGAAATTTTGGTATCTTTGTCATATTTCCAAGAGAGGTGGCAAGTGTGTGGTTTGGGCTTCCTTGTGCATCTGACAGCCATGGGATGGCAGTGTCAGCCTTGTAGGGTCGCCGGGTATGAATCAGATGTTTTAAGCAGGTCCTGTTTATATGCAGGAGGTATAAGGGAACAGTGGGGAGAAGCTTGGCCCCATTCTTGAGAATGGACAGCTTGATGGGTACAGGGTGGCTGAAGCCTCAATATACATGATCCTCAAATCCAAGCACCTTAGACACTTATACAATGGGTCATGCTTTCAGGTCATCATAGTGCACGGTGATTCTTTGGCAAGGGGTTGTCCCAGAGAGGAGGAATAGAGAGGTTAGGCAAACCAGGTTCTTGGGACAAAACTCCTCTGAAGAAAAGAGTGCAGAGCTCTGTGGTGGAGAGGAGGATGCTCCTCGAGGAGGCTCTGTGCTTCCTCTCCACTGACACTGTGAAGGCAATAGGAAAAGACAGGGTTTCCTCCTAAAACATTCCAGTACTGAAAAACCTTTTCCTCATCCACCTCTTGTCTTTGCTGGAGTTTAGTTCCTCCTGGTTGATGTACTGTGTGATCACTTAGCCAGAGACTCTCTGAGGAAGGAAGTCTTGATCATTTCTTGAGCTCATGCCTGCAATGGAGAGTCTCTATGGCTGTATTTGTCTCCTGATCAACTGAGCATCCATTTCTTGTCTCTGAAATGGGGACTTGGGAGTTTAAGAAATGGACTGAATGGTTTATATGGAGATATAAAAGCTTATTAAATGCCCCAGGATGTTTGATAGAGACTCCTTTGACCCAGAAAATGTCAGAAATACTTGTAGACACCAAACTCCTCTTTATCCACATGGGCATTTCATGAAGCTGTTGGCCTGAGATTGGTGTTACACCTTATCGGAAAATGAAAAGTCCTCCAGCCTATGTACTCCAGTTAGCAATTGACTAACTAAGGGCATCCTTAGACCAAAATAATCCTTTATACAGTTTTGGTCCCAAAGCCTGACCTCTCACAAACTCAGTTCATGAGTCAAGCTGCTTGGCTTCAGGCCTGCCTAACTTGTACTGGAGGATGTAACAGTCTTTTTGGAGCTGCCGGAGCAAAGGAGGGGCTTCTTTTCAAACTGTGCCTCAGAGGTGGTTTTCTCATTCCACCTACCATGGTGGTTTCAACCAAGGAAACAAAAGCCGGGGTAGGCTTTTAGACACCTGGTCTTGGTCCTAGATCCCCGTAGTCATGTGGGTTGAGGGCAGCACTTGCATAGTTCTGTTCCATAAGGACAGAATGCATGACTATGTGGCTCCTGTCTGAGGATAGGTATATAGAGTGCGTGTAAAGGCAGTTTGCCTGTCCTGTGAGTCTATTCTTTGGCAAGGGCAGACTTTGCCAAAAGGTGGGAAATATCTATTTTATTTAGGTTATCTTTTTTCATAGCTAATAATAAAATGGGTCTTAGTGCTTACTACCCAGAGACATCTATCTATTCCCTGGTTGTTTTATAGTGTGGGGGAATGACTGAGGACAACCAAGGTGCATTCGGAATGCATGCTGTACCGCTGAGCTACATCTGGCATAATGCCTTTTCTCTTCAGTGCCAGAACATAGGAATGGGCAAGGGCATGGCAGGGAAACTAAAGCACTAGGAAAAAAACCCAAGGCTTTAGCACATTGGGTGTTTTGAGACAGAGAAGATGTTTCCATGTAACTGGTCTCTTGTTGCCTGTCTTGTATCTCTTTTGGGGTGGTGATTTGTTTTCTTGGGGCTAGTTTTGTTCTGTTTTGATAGAGGTAAAGAACCACAGACAGTTTCTAAAGGATAGTAATTACTAGAAAGTCTGATCCAAAGTGACGAACACCGTCGCCTGTTGTTTCACACATGTTAGCAGGCATGCCATTCACACCTCTTAGCCCGAATGCCACTCTCTATCTCCTTCAGAATTAGATTAACTAACAGAATATGGCTTTTGGTTCCTGAAGTCCTTGCTGTAGCTGCTAGAGACTATGTACTAAAAACAGGTGACATGGGAATTGTTTGAGTGGTCATTCTTCTGTCTGGTCAAGTTGCAGAGAACAGACATCTGTTAGTTTTTTTAAAAAGCACAGCCTCCTGAAGGTGTCCAGAGTGCCTCAGTTTTGATGTGGTTATGTATCCAGGGCAGTGGGAAAGAAATAGGTAGTAGTACTACATATGGGGAATTTGAATGAAATAGTTTCTGTTTTGTCTGGCATTGGGAATTCACATTGAAGTCTTAATTATTTAGGCATTTCTCAGCTTTGATGTTTGAACTGACTCCTTCCTTTACTGACTAATATTTTTCCTTTCCAAGTCCTAGTCTGTGAACTTGGCTTGTGACCCTGTACCTCAGTCGTCAGAAAATATGCTACTAGGAGTGACAGCTCAGCCATCAAAAGGAGAATGTCTCCCGTCCTGTGCCTAGCATGGCTAGCCATGTCACAGTGGGAATGAAAATAACTCAGGAGGCCTCTTTTTTTTTTTTTTCTGTAGAATTTCCCTGTGCTGTAGGCTGGGCATGGGTACAACAGGCACATGCATGCCACTGTGGATGTTTGGAGAGGACAGCCCTCAGATGCTGGTTGTAGCCATTCTAACTTAAGACAGCGTTTCTTCACTGCACCACAGGCCAGACTGGTGGCCCATATATATGCTCCTGGAGATTTCCCTATCTTCAAGTCCCATTTCCCGTCAGATAGATGCTTGTACTACTAAATCCAGCTCTTACCCGGGTTCTGAGGCTCTGATCTGAGGCCACCAGGCATGTGTAATAAGTGCTTTTACCCACGGAGCCGTCTCCCCATCCCAAGCCTTAGTTATCTTCTCTGTGATGTGGAACTGGTAATTGTTACTGGAAGCTATAGACCACGCAGGAATCACCTGCTCTGTGGAGAGCATAGCACAATACAGGTGATCCGAAGATACGTTTTGTCCTGGTTGGGTACCTTATTAGGCTCCCCATGTTAATGGTTTTTATTCACAGAGAGTGACAAAAATTAAACAGTATATTTAGTATCAGGTATTGTCTTTGCTATTAGGCCAGCACCTGGGAGGCTGAGGCAGAAGGACTGTGAGTTCAAGGACAACTTGAGCTCCATCATAATACCCTGTCTCCAAAAACAAATGAACTAAATCAAAATAAAAAATAAAAACCTGAAAATAATAGGAGACAACAGACTTTTCTCCATTTTATACTATGCATTTTTTTCTAGTAGGCATTTTAGTACGTTAGTATTTTATTTAATTAGTTTACTTTTTGGCAGTGCTGAGGCGTGAACCCAGTAGCCCATATATGCTAGGCGAGTGTTCTACCGCTGCACCATTTCAAAGCCTCACAATTAGGGCTTTAAAATTTTGACCTTTTCTGTGGTCTGCCTAGGCAGCCCTTTTCTCCAAAATTAAGAGTACAAAGGATCACCCTGAAATATCAGCCCTTCCACACCTTGGAGTGCCATCCTCCATCAGGAGATAAATTAGCATTGAATGTGATCCTCAGGAGAGCCCTAACTGTGAAGCAGCAATCATAGCCTTCATTCATTCAGTCTGGAAGTGGAAACTCCTTTCTGCCCCTGTCTTTCTAGCAGTGGCCTGTCTTATGGGGATGACCAGTTTCAAACTGTCCAGATGGTACCAAGGATTTAGAGTCCTCAATATGCTTTGGTGTTTGAATACCAGTTTTCAGCACTGATTCCCTCCAGGGAACTTGTAGTGCTGTATCTTGTCATTTGAGAGACTGAAGACAGAGAATATTTCTTCTCCCAGGATAATGTTTAAATTTATAACTAGGATGATTACTTAAAGTGTCCTGTTTTTTTTTGTTTGTTTGTTTGCTTGGGGTTTTTTTTTTGGCAAAGTATCTGAATCCAATCAAAGAAATTCAAACCCAAATGCTCCTCAGATTATCTGAACCTATCTATTTTTCCTAAGAGGGAATGAATGATATATTTTAAACCATACTAGAACTTGAGTTGAGAGTGACAGCCGTAGTCCTAAAGTAGGGGAACAGTCTACTAATAGGGGAGAAAAGAGTGAAGGAGAATGACAACTGCTTACAGAGTTCAGCACCATGGTAAGGCAGAACTCCTTTCGTTCTCAACAGCAACTATTTTAACAACTCTCTCTCTCTCTCTCTCTCTCTCTCTCTCTCTCTCTCTCTTTCTCTCTCCTCTCTCTTCCCCCCCCTCTCCCTCCCCTCTTCTATTCCCCCTTCTCTCTCTCCTTCATGCCCCCCCTTTCTGAAAATCCTCCTCAGGTTTTTGAGTCATGATGCAAGAATCTGGGTCTGAGACAAAAAGTAACGGATCAGCCATCCAGAACGGGTCCAGCGGTGGCAACCACTTACTAGAGTGTGGCGCGCTTCGTGACACTCGGTCCAACGGGGAGGCACCAGCGGTGGACCTGGGGGCAGCGGACCTTGCCCACGTCCAGCAGCAGCAACAGCAGGTACTTGCCTGGGAACTTGGGTTTTGAGTGGAAGTTGAGCTACTGTGCATGTTTTAGGCATCCACAGGTCTGACTGAGGCTAATTTTGAAGTCCTTGGGAGGTACAAGTGTCTTTCTGGATGGTAGATGTTAGACTTAAAGTTGAATGGACCTTGAGCTGCTCTCTTCAGCCCCCAACATGCCACCTAAACTTTTTATTATTCAATTAAAATGACTCTGAGAAAAAAACGGTTGTTGATGCTTGAGGTAAACAGTTGACAAGTAGAACAGTAATTAAACAAAAACAGGCTTAAAAATAAACCTTATGAAGAAAGAGAATTAGAGCTGAAACGAAATAACTAAGGATACATGGGGGGTAGTCAAATAAAGAAATAGAGACAATTAGAAATATAGGTGAATATGGTTTAAATAATAAGCTCATGTCTGTAAGATAGACATCAGTTTGGGACATGTCTTCTTCCTGTTTCTAAGAACTAGGGTGTCTGCATTTGTGTATGTTTCATGGAGTCTGACCCAAGGTGGTGTTGGCTAAAGTTTCAGTGGTGTTACTGCTCTCCTATCTGGGCCTCTACAACATGTCCTTTGCTGGGATATTCTCATTCAGTCTTTGCCCTTCCCAGGATGGAAGCGGGTCCTTGGGAGTAACTGTTGAGACATTTCCCAGTAGTACAGGTGACCTAAGACATGGTATTGTGTTGGTAAAAACTCAAATGTAAATAGCATTTCCTTGAAGACTAGATTGGGTTTCCCACCCCATGGGATCAGGAAATATTTCGAGTTTTTGCTACTGATAACAGGGCAGGTTTGTCCTTGATCCATTTATCTTGTAGTTGTGGTACCATTTGTAATCAGGTATTTAAGAGAAAGAGAAGAATGAAACATCTTGGGGAAATTTTGTAACTTTATAGAGAAAATGTTGGGAAATGCCACAAGAGAAAACGACAGACCTTTCAAACTACTTTCTTTAAATCAGAATTCAGATTCTTAGGGCTGGAGCTCTTGCTAAGAGTCTTTGTTATCTTCTCTTTCTGAGACACGTTCTCATGTATCTGAGGCTACTGTCTTTGAAATGAACTCCGGATCCTTTTGCCTCTACCTCCCAAATAGTTAAATCAAAGATATGCATTAAAATTAAAACAGTCAATAGACTGTAAACCATTAGATATCAGCGGATAAAGCGTGAGACTATGATACCAACTCAGGGAAAGGTCTGGAAAGAAAAAGAAAGGGAAGTTGGCAGACAAACCATGTCAGTCAGTTCAGGGCATTTTCGAGTGTGACTTGATGTCTTTTCTGTCACCCCAACTATTTCTGCCTCCACCGTAGACACCCTATCAGCTAGAGTTTATGCCACTGTTTTATTAATTTTGTACACTTCAGTTAATACACAGTGGCTGAATTCTAACCCGGGAGGTTGTTGGCCAAACCCAGCAGTAAATGGTAGGAGTGCATTTGCAGTTATGGTCAACCTGTGTGACATCCTCATCTACTTATGGTGAGACAGTAGTTAGTAATTTTAGAATACCATCTTCTATGACATTACAAGATAGAGATGAAGATGGAACATTCCTTTATGAGGTAGTTGAGACTGGGCTAATGCAATGTGTGTTCCAAATAATTTTGTATTTAGAGTACATTAGTTTAGTTATTGGGAGATTAATTTCTTCTGAATTTCACATGAAGGACTAACAAAAATTCAGAATATTAAAGTATTTAACCAAGGAGCCAGCAGGTAAAAATGCTTGCCACCAACCTTGAGGACCTGAGTTTGATTCCCACCACCCTCATGGCAAGAGAAGAACAAGCCCTTCAAAATCCCCCCTCCCTCTCTTACACACAAATGTAATAAAAAAAAAGTTGCAACAAACAACAACAAAGTATTTAACCAACAAGGAAAGTCTACATGTTCAATATACCTATCACACACTCCCCCCTTCTACAGAACAATAACAGCAGTGACATGAATGACGTGGAAGAATGTTCTGGAAGCATATTTCGGTTGCTTCTTTCTTAAAAATAATGAGTTAACCTGGGCTGGAGCCCTTCTGGAGAACATGTTGTTAAATGACCATTCATGCAGTGTTCAAGTACTTGATTTTTGATTCCACTTTGAAACTTGAAAATAAATATTTCACGGCAATTTTCTGTCTATTTGTCACTGATATGTTTGAGGAAGAAAGGCATCTGTCGGGTCTAGGATTGTGGCTAAGGCTCCACTTATTGTGGTTGGCAAGCCTTTTTAGGCCTTATAAAACATCCACAGCTGCTTTGACTGCCTGTGTAAGAGAAGTCTCTAAACAGGTCGGTGAGGGAATGGGAATGCGTAGGTGACAGAAGAAAAACTACAGGCTCACAAAGGGCCCAGAGGCCCAAAGCTCCCCGAGTTTTCTGCCCGCCCAGAAAACAGCAGCAATTAAACTGTGTGGAGAAATTGTGAGTTTTGCTGGTGGACCTGCGTGGTTTTCGTCATTTTTCTCCTGCAGGTTTTTACTCGAAGTGAGAATGCAAGCACTGAGAAAATCGCAGCCATGCTGAATTCATTACTGCGGTAGTCACACAAAACCACGGATAAAATTTCAATATCTGCAGGCCACAGTTGAGTAAACAGTTGCACTGAAATTTAATTCCTGTTGACTTTTCCCCCATTCCTCGCCAGGGGCACATTCTGATTCCATAGTACAAAGACAACAGGGGTTACAGCTTTGATTAATGTAGGACAGTGGAAGAGAGTTAGAACTGTAAAATATGTCACAAGTCCATGGAACACAAAGATCTGGCTTCAAGCTGCCTGGTGTAAAAATGAGTTAATTATGCTGTGAGTTACAGGGAATGGTTCAGAATATTCTGCTTGCACCAAGCCTTTGGTGTTATTATTCGGCAGGGGTGGGGGTGGGTGCTGAGCCAGTTCTGTGTTGGGCTCCTTCTTGCCAATCATGACTACAAATTATAGCCAGCATCCTTTTCAGAAACTTCAGCCATCACAAAGAACCACTACCATAGTGATTACACTGGTTACCTACGTTGAGTCTCAAACAGAATTTGTTTTAAAGAATTATCTAGTTGACAGCCTGGAGAAATGGGAGGACTTTGCTTTTCCATCCTTTCTTGAAAAATCAGAATGTCTGGCAACCTTGGGTGACCGCCCCACAAGGGCAGCAACTGTTGGGAGATGAATCGCTGCTGAAGACAGGGAGCCCGGTAGCCTTGTGGTTCACCGTGACTCCACCCAGCAGAGTACTACCCTGCCCTCTAGGCAAAGCAGCTAGGGATGCTGGTCTGGAAGATGCATCATCCTTCAGAAGTTACCAGCCAAGGAGAGGGGCGGCCATTAGTTGGAGGAGCCCACCCACGCAAGTGCCTTGTCTTCCCTCCTCAAAAAGAAGCATATTGTCTTGATAATGTTTCAACTCTATTTATATCCAGGCTCCGCAACTATTACAATGGTTTTCTAATAATGTAATTTGATAGCATTTCTGAGCGTTCTCTTGCAGCCCTTGAGTAGTTCTTTACCCTATACCATGACTGCTTTTTACTTCCTATTATGCCTGCCCCCATTTCTATGTCTCTGAGTTCTGTGTTAAAGAATGACTACTCCATTATGAAGAGCAGCAACAGATACTATTATTGATTGTTAATGTTTCTTTTCTCCCTCCTTAAAGGAAAGATTTTAAAATGTCCAGAGCAATTTCATAAACTCTGTGGATTAATGCATTTGAAAAGTCTTGAATTTTTGAAAGCAGGATTTTATTTCCATATTGCTGCAAATGAGAGCTTTTTCAGATAAGCATATTACATAGAACATAATGTTTAGAAGTTTCTCCATATACAGCATATGCTGGCAGGTCAATTAACAGAATGCATACCAGAAAATGTTTATTCAATAAAAATGAATAGCTGTTAAATAAACCAGCTATTCTTTGACAACATCCCTTTTGTAATGATGGGTGCTTTCTTTGGGGAGGGGTAAATTTTTTGGTACCACCTGGCATTTTTATTGTGTGCAAATCAGCAAAAGGAGAGCTTTGGTGGCTGCGGTTTAGGGTATGGCTATCATTTTATATGAGGAGAGCAGTTTCCAGAGAGTGGGTGAGAAAGTCATTAAAAAAAAAAAGATATGCTGCGCTTGCAATTTGTTACTTAAGGAGTATAAGTAAATGAAGGGCTTATTTTTTGTAGCCTGTCTGATATTTGGTTTAAAATGTTGGAAATTTTGGTCAAAAGAAGAAGTATATGTTTCAAGTTAACAGTGTAAACAAAGAGAAAAAGAAACGTTCCGTGGCAAGTAAGGAGGTAAAAGAGGGAGAAAGTATACGGAGGACTTTCAAGAGCGTCCTGGAAACGAGGAGGAGGGTAGCTATGAGAATAGGATGGATGGAAAGTGCTGATAGTTACATGGGATCCTAAAAGCTCTTTAGGGCGTGAGTAAAGAGTGTGGTGACATAAACTCAAAGAGGGTTTATCAGAAGAATCTGGGAGAATTATAGAGTGGAATTCCACAGTGAGAGTATAGTCAACTCCTTGTATGCAAGGTTCAGTTGATGGATTCAACTGTGGATCTAAAGTTTGGGAGGAGAATTGTGTCTGAACTGAACATGTCCATATTTTCTTGTCCTTGGTCACTAAGCACTAGTGGGATTACTTGCACAACAATTTGCCTTGTGCTGGGTTATTGTAAGTGATGTAGAGATGCCTTTAGAATTTGTGAGAAAAGAGTAGATAGGTTCCTTGCAAATTCATCACCATGTCATTCCAGACATAGATTTGGGTAGCCTTGTTATTCAGTTACTGATGAGACAGAAAAGCAATTTAAAGAAGGGAAGACTTACTCTGGCTCACAGTTTAAGGGTGTAGTCCGTCGTGGCTGGAAAGTTAACAGTGACAGAAGTGAAAGGAGGCTGGTCACGTTGCATCTGCAGTCAGGAAGCAGAGAGAGATGAAGGCTGGTGTTTAGTTTCCTTTCTCCTGTTTATCCAGTCCAGGACCCCAGGGTTGTCACCCAC